GGTGGGGACAGTGACCACCGGAAAGAGGTGAGTAGGGAGGAAAGACTTAAAATAAACAGGAAGCAAACCGACTTCCTAGGGAGTGAAAAGGCGAGTTTGACCCAGCATGGAGGAGCAGAGAAAGCCTAAGCTAGCCCAGAGAGGGCGGGTGCGGAGACGCCGTTGGTCAGCAAGGCGCTGGCCCAGGCTGGCGCCCTCGCCGTCTGCGTGGCTGTAACTCAGGGGCTTGCAGAGTTCACAGCTCGGAGTTCGCTTTGGGCGGCCGCAGGCAGGGATACGAGAGCTACGTCTCTGCGAAGCTCTAGGCGCTGCGCATTGAGGTGGGGGTGGGGGCACGCTAAACTGAGCCAAATCCGTGCGCACCCGCTGTTTTAGGAACCCGCGCTTAGTTCTACGACCAGTCTTTGAGGCGCAGGGAGGGCGTAGGGCGAGCCACCTGGGGAGGCGCGCGCTTAGGGAGTGACGGTGAGATCCCGGTCGTCCTTTCCAGATGACGACGGAGACATGGGCAATTCGTCGTCGTCCTCGGAGCACTTGGCAGAGGAGAGCGACGCGCACTTGCAGCCTTGCGGTGCTCCCGTGCCCGCGTTTGCGCTCCCGCCGCCGCCGCGGTGGTTACTACCTTTGCCCTCCTTCTTGTGTTTCACCCGGCGGTTCTGGAACCAGATCTTAACCTGCTTCTCTGACAGATTCAGGTAGGTCGCGATCTCGATGCGGCGTAGTCGGGACAGGTACATGTTAGAGGCAAACTCACGCTCCAGCTCTAACAGTTGCGTGCTGGTGAACGCGGTGCGCATCCTCTTGCTGCTGGGCAGCTGGTTCGAGCTGCTGTCTGAAGGGAATGGAGCGCAGAGAGGGAAGCGTTCAGACCCCTGTGCTGAGGACCAGTCCTCCTTCAGGTGACTTTTAGAATCCCAGGACTTTGGTCTCTCACTCACCCTTTGGTCCCCAACCGGGCCGTAGCAGCTTGACATCCAGAATCTCCTTGCCAAGCCGCGGGACCCTCATCCACTGGCAATCACATGGCCCTGACGCTCTTAAAGAGCGATTTGTACCCCAGCCCTCACTCTTTGCTCGGCTAGCCCTCTAGGACCGGGACTTTTGCCTTACACTCCCTCCTGGTGTCCTTGGGGACCCTCAATTTACACGAGCTCGAGTGTCCCTTTTATAGCCCGACCTCATCCCCACCGTCCCCAGAAAGCTTCAGGTCCCCTCAACCCTGACTCGCTTACTCTCCTCGGTTCACTTCTGTACTGTCCCCCCGCGCGGCGACCCGGCTTACCCACAGAGATGCAGTGGAACTGCCTGGGGTCGGGCAGCGGATAGGAGGTCTGGTAGAGGGCGGCGGCAGCAGCTGCAGCGGCTGGGCCGTGAGCAACCCCGGGAGACACGGCCGAGTGCTGGCGGCCCAGGGGTGCGTGGCAGTACTGCGAGCCGAAGGGCGGGAAGGATGCCTTGAGCAGAGGCAACGCGGGCGGCCCGGGGGGCCCGTGCAGCTGCGAGGCGGTGACGCACAGCGGGCACACGCACAGCAGCCCGGCCTTGCGCGCGTGGCAGGCGCCAGGCGAGAGGCCGTGCAGTGCGTGCGGCGGAGGCACTGCATAGGGAAAGAGCTGCGGCGGGCTGCCATCGGGCGCTTTCTTTTCGCCTGCCTCGCGCAGCACAAGTGAATCCACCAGGAAGGAGCGCGGCATGGCCCCGGCGCGCGGTCGCCCCACCGCCAGCCCGCTCCTTGCGCCCCGCAGACCTCGGGGCTCTCCACACGGTTCACCCGGCTGCTGCCGCAGGTGCCTCTCTGCCCGGGAGGCTGAAGGCTGGCTGCTCTGAGGCCAAGCCTGAAGGGGCCGCCGCCGCTGCTGCTGCAGGCGCCGCCCAAACAGCGCGGGGTGCTGGCCAGTGCTAGTGGTGCTGAAAGGCGCCGGCGGCGCCGCTTAAATAGGACTATTGCCATGTGATGGGCTACGCCAGGAGCGGCCGGGGGCCTCTCAATAGGGTTTTTGTGCCTTTTCTCTTGGCATTCACTCTGCACGCTTCCTCATTATTTCACTTGTTAACTAAATGAACTGCATAATGTACTCTATTCTTGTCAACCCCACCCACGCCGTAACAGGCGCCCTCGCCCCCTGCTCTCCCTTTTGCGGGTTTATTTTCTCATTCTTCTGGGATTTAATATTCTTTTCTTTCTCTTTATTCCTTACTCCCCTCTAGCTTTGCATTGGCTATCAGACCGTTTATCTTATTGATTTTGCACACCCTTTCTTCACTTCCACAGATCTTCAAGGGCTCACACCCCATCTTCTCTGTGCACACCGTGACTGTCCCCTTCCTTTCCTCACTTAGCCCTATTTCCCCGAGATCAAGCTTCTTCCACTCAGTTCTTAGCGCTGCATATCCCGAGGGTGTCCCTACAGCCAGCCTCCGATTTCCACCTGTGGAATTCCTTCCCTGCTCCCAGTCTGATGAGAGAGGACCGGGCCTCTTGTAGGGGGAGGTGCCACTGAGAAGAGAGGAGAAAGACTCAGTATTTCGTATCCAGCACCAGCGCCATCGCTATCCCTGTGATTTCTCTAAAATTCTCAAATAGTCTTAACTTCAATGCTGCGTATAATATCCTGTCTTTGTTCTGATAGCTACTGGCCAACCAGTCTTTTATTTCAAATGACAGGGCTGTAGGTATAAAGAAGGAATCCGCCTCTGACAGTCTGGGACATGCACAAGGACTGGAGAATGAAGCTTAGACCTGAAGATCAAGATCTCACACCCCACCATAATGGCGAATGTAGACACCCTCTGCCCGCAGGAGTCTTTTCATCCCGCACAGCTCAGTAGACAGGCTGGTGCTCTAGGAAACCTTTGCCTTCCCACAGTTCGCCCCGCAGGACTGGAAGTAAGAGCAGTTGTATCCCCAGCTTTTGATGACTTAGCTCACCCAAACAGAGCCCTCCTCTCCCCAAGACCTTCTCTTGCCATGTCATTCTCTTCTTTCTGGTCACACAATGGTTAAACAACTTCAAAGGCCTGACGCTGAGTACACAGTTTCAGCATTTTTTTTTAATGGTCTGAGAACTCAAAGCCTCTTCTTCCAAAAGCTTTTTCCATACAATGGGAAATTAACATAAATATTTGAATTTGCAGCCCGGGACTTATCGCTGAAGACATTTACTTTCGGTTTTATTGGAACCAAGTCGCTGCAGTCACCTGCTCTGAGTCCTGAATGGAATTGTAATAAATGGAGAGGAAGGTGGTGGTGGTGGTGGTGTGTGTGGGGGGGTAGATTAGTGCACAAGAATAACATGTCCTAAACTAATGTGATTAGGGGTTTCATTGTTGACCTATTTGCTGTAACAATAAAATAAATTATAACTGAGTAAAAAGCAAATAACTTGTTATGAGAAAAAAAATGATTTTATAAAAGGGAGAGGGCCAGTGGGGGGAAAAGACCTGAATAGAGGGCACATCATTCATCTAGCAGAGGTGTACCAGTTTGGTGCTGCCTTGGTTGTTTGGCATGGGACAGGACCAAAGCTATCCCAGTGGACTCTATCCTAAGTCATCCAATGTAAGGATGTGTATTGCAAACCAACCAGAATGCAGAGGTGAAGCCTACCTTCAGGTTTAATTGCTCTCTGGGAAATTCGGGCTGGCCTGGACCACTGAATGAACTGAGAGCCGGGAACAGGACTGGAGAACGGCTTCCTGCAGTGTAGAGGCAAATAAGAGCCCTGCAGGGTAAGCCCCCTACCTCCCCCCAGCCTCTGGGCCAGGAGTCACGGACCTGCAAAAGACCAGAGCCATCTCTCCAGTGAGCTGAAGTCTGCGCCCAGGCAGGAAGGGGTTAAGAGTCCCTGAATGTGAACAAGGCCAAAGCTACTGGGAAAGAATATCTAGAGGGGAGGGGGGAATATAACCAGTTTTTTTCCCCTTCAGCCTCTGGACCTTATTGAATGTCATTGAAGAAAGTTTTGAATGCCAGATAAAGAGAGGCGAATTAAAGTGTGTGACAGCGGAGGATAAGCGAACACAAAGAGAACTCTGTCACACTTTGGGGCAAAATCCGTGGGCTTTTTACCAAGTCTCTTCGCTATGATTGAATTAAGTAATAGGAAAACATTTTCTTTCAGTTTAGAGCCATTAGACAAAAACTTCAAAGCGAATAACACTTTTTAATGTGCAGCCCACAATGGATGGGGTTTTGTGCTGAAATGTTTAAACGGTTTGTTGTGAAACTCAGAGCTGAAGAGACCCGGGCCCAAGCAAAATAGCATCCCTGAGAGTGTCTTCAAGAGGTCTGGGAAGGACGCACCCTTAATCTGCCCTGTCTAAGGCAGGCAGGCTGTGAACAGAGAGGGGTGCCCTGTTAGGAGTCCCGGACCTGTCCAGCGCACCCCAGGTCCTGTGCCTGCTCCGTGTGTCGCTGGGAATGTGGTCGAAGGAAACAAGCACATCTGGGCATCCAGAGCTTTACCAGCTCTGCTGCCCACCCAAGTCTCTCTGCTGACCACCTGCTTTCTGGACACGATCTTTGGAGACTCGAGGGCACTCTTGGGGTACACTCTGGACGATCTTCAGAGTTTTGAAGGCACTCTTGGGGTACATAGCAGCTGGCTGTTGTGCTGCTTTCTTGTCAAAGTACATCCCAGGGCTGGCTTCAGCCACGTTTGAATTTTACAGTAGCAAGCAAACGCCCCCTAGGGTGGGGTGGCGGTGGAAGGAGGTAGCAGGATAAGCCCAACAGTCCAAGAGAGGGCAGAATAGGGAGCCCCCTTGCCTGGTAGGCCTTATGTGCCCCGATGCTGGCTTTCAAGTGTCCATCAGACACAGTTCGGCTTGGAATTATTTCTGTGGTCCGGGTCTTTTCCTCTCCTTTCATGCTGTCTCCTTTCCTGTTGATACAGAAAACAGGTCATTTTTCTCCTGGAAAGTAGCTCTTAGATATTTATAGCAAAGCCTGCACAAAAGGGAGTATGTGTAGACTTACTTCCTTACCCCTTCATATGTTTATACAAAGTACGCCTACCTCCTCAGGGAGACCAACTGCTCTATTTAAAAGTATTATTTCTCTTCTTTATTCTCCCCATCACCTCTGTACTGATAAGTACCTTTTAATTTTTTGTCTTTTGCAAATTTCCATAACTGAAATATATGCTCCATTGAGGATACACACATTTGTCACTTTTGTACTTTATGGTATTCTAATTCAGCAAAGTTCTCAACACATACTATGAACACATATTTGCTGGCTACATAAATGAATGAAAGAGACTTGACTCAGGAGGTGGGAAGGGTAGGAGAACACCCTGGTTTACTGCTTAAAACACTTAGAAACTTAGGAGCTTGGCATAGGGTGAGTAACTTGCAGAGACTGATTCTCCCTGCCAATTCACTCTTCCTAGTACCTGGGCCATCACAGGAACTAATGCGTTTGTTGAGTAAATAATAGATCTGTAGGTCTTAGCCCTCCTTGGGAGATTCTTAGGTTCTTCAGAGAGTAAGAAGTTACCATTCAAGGTAGTCTAGTTTTCTGTTCTACAGGAATGGATGACTCCATTTGTAGTTCAAGTCTGGTTTTATCATCTCTGTCTTTTCATGGCATAAAGGAGAAGGGTTGGTTTAAAAGAGAGGAGAGGCCCTCCCTGGTGGCGCAGCGGGTTAAAGCACAGCACTGAGAATCTGAAGCCACTTCCGCATGAGTTCGATTCCCGCCTGCCGCCTGCCCCGGAGGAGACCACATGGCGAGCCAGACCTCTCCTGGCCCGCCCGCTGCTTCCCTCAGCAGTGTACTTCCTAGATCTGCCTGTTCTGCTCCCCGCTCTGTCTCTGGTGAAGCCTCTCACCGCCCCTGAGCCTCTGGCCTGTACCCCAGTTCTGTATGAATAAATAAATAAATCTTAAAAAAAAAAAAAAAAAAAAAAAAAAGAGAGGAGATAGTATATACCTTGGAATTATCAGTGATTATTTTTTCTCTTTTTGTCTATGTGCAAAGTCATAGTTAGATGCATTGCATTTTAGTTCTTAAACTCAGAGCACTCTGCTTATATCCCATGATGAAAATGTCATTCTAAAGGTGAGCAGAGAGATCAGCCATAGAAAGAGAGATTTGAAACTTATGTATGCAAAACTGATATCGTTAGTGTTTGGATGGAAGAGTCTCCCATGAGAGTAGAGAAAAAACTGGATTATTGTCTTCCTGGGAATGCCCATATTCAAAGAGATAAGTGGAAAGGAGGCTCCTTTCAGTTCTGAAGCATTTCCAGCAACTATTTTTGATGAGTTTTAAGATAGATACTTCATGCTGGAAATAGTGTGGCAGAAAGCTACTGGGAAGAGAAGAGGTGAAAGATGGAAAGAACCAGGGTCCACAAAGATCAAGGAGCTTCCAGCCTATTTTATATGAGTAGAGATAACTATTTATCTTTTTAATTATCTTTTGAATTTTCTATTACTTGCAGCTCTAGCTAATGATAGGTAGGTCTAGATTAGGATTCCTGAGACTTGATCCATCCAGACAATAAGAACCAAGCCAAATGAAGGAGTTGGTGGTAACCATGTCCTAATTGCTGGGATATCCTCTTCTCCTTTCCCAACTAGATCACAAGCCCTTAAAATACAGAGATAAAAATTTACATTTACTGGCATCACCTACCTTCTCATAGCACATTATATATATGTGTGTGTGTATATATTATATATAATATTATGTATATACGATACAGTTACTACATATAGTACATATT